AAATAGAAAATCTCTTTTATTTCTTATTTTTTCAGTTTGGGTTTATTTAAGGGTAGTTTGGGAAGATAGTGGGGTTTTCTTAGGGCCCGTTCGGTAGAGCGTTTTCAGCATATTCTCTGTTTTCATTCTCTGAAAACAGTCGAAATATGTGTTCGGTGGCAAGAGTTTGAAAACATGAAAAATAACTTTCAGAAAACAGATTCAAACTCATGTACAAAAATTGAAAACGCCAAATTATCGTTTTCAATTTATGTTTTCATTTTCTACACAGCAAAACAGAAACGATAATCAAACCCACCACGGCCACTACTACCAAACCTCACAGACCCAGTCCCCACATCACCACCACCTATCAAACCCAGTCGACACCAACACCACCACCATCCCAATGGAATCACCACCAAACACCCAATCGAACCCAATACACATCATCGCCACCTAGTAAAAAGCAATCGACCCCAGCACCTCCACCACCCATGCCCAATCAAAGCACCATTACCGCCATCACCACCTGATCAGGAGGGGGGAGAGACAGAGACAGAGACAGAGAGACAGAGAGAGACAGAGACAGAGACAGAGACAGACATACAGAGACAGAGACAGAGACAGAGAGGTGGGTTGATGGGATTCATGCCATGGAAGGAAGGAGTGGGTGCTGCGGCATGAAGAGATAGTGAAAAAAAAGGGAAGGAAGAAGAAAAGAGAAAGGAGGGGAAGAAAGAAAGAAACGGGGCTGGGAAGGAGTTTTTATCTAGCCAAATTTTTTTAATTAATGAATATAGAATATAGAATATATATTTCAATAAACCAATAGGAAACAATTCATGATTTTCTTGGTTGACCAAGAAACATATGGAAATTCTTTTTTTATGTGTTCTCCCTTATTTGTTTTTTTTTATCTTTTATTTTCGTAGTTCTACCTGTTTCGGAGAAGAAAATTCCACATTTTTATTTATCATTTTCACTTATTATTAAAGATAATTCTAGGTTTTTATAACATTAGAAATTTTTTATTTTTTATAGAACATACGTTAGCAAAAATATACTTGAAAAATAACTTACATATTATTATTCTCAAATTGTACTACCAGACACGTTTTCACTGTTTTTATTTTCTGAATATGTTTTCTAATTAATATACCAGACGCATTCTTGAATCCTGAAAATGCAAATTCGTTTTCTCGTTTTCATTATCTGAAAATATTCTCTGAAAACGTTACCAGACAGGGCCTTAGAAATTGTGAAAATTTAAATTAAAAGATGGGGTGAACTTAGAACATGGGGTAAACTAAGACAAATGTGGGGTTTAAATAGAATTTTTTTTATTTTTTATAAGGGAAATAATTACGTTGTCTTTTTCTGCCAGAAGAATAAAATAAAAGATAGACCCTAAAAAATAGAATAAGAGAAAGGGGCGACCACAACAAAACGCGTGTGGTGGGGGCATTCAAATTCCTAATTACTTTTTCCACCCAAGCAAATCTTATTTATACCCCCTCGCCTATTTCATATTTTATCTCAGATACTCTGTTTCTCTCTCTCTCTCTCTCTCTCTCTCTCTCTCTCCCACACGCACCTACACAAAACACAACCCAATATCATCATCTTCACTTCTATCTCTTTCTCTCTCTCTCTCTCTCTCTCTCTCTCTCTGTGTCGTAGCAGACCCCAATAAATCTATCAGATCTTCAATACCCAGGTGAAGAATTGCTTTAGAAAGTAGGGAAATGAGGGAGGAAATGCCGTACGGAACCGAAGAAGGTGAGGGGGAGGAAGTTGGGTTTCCTAATAACACTCATAAGAGATTAGTGGTGGTGGGTTATGCTCTTACGTCTAAGAAGACGAAGAGCTTTTTGCAGCCAAAGCTTGAAGGTTTAGCTAGGTAATTTGGCTAATATATTATGTGTTAATGGACCTTAATCGAAATGATTAATCTCCCAAGGTTCTGTTTTTGTTTTCTGTTGTTCCCACGGGGATTGATTTGTGGACCGAATTTGTTCTGATATGGGATTTTCCTTCGGCTTTTGGTTTTCGAATATTGTTCCAGTACTACTGTCATTTTCGTTTGGCTGGCGAGAAAATGAAAGAAACTTGCGGAATTTTCTACCTATCAATTATTGCCGATCGAAGTCCTACGATTTTTTTTTCCTTTGGAGTTAAAAGCATACACAAGTTGTGTGCTTTTAAGTCCTTTTCACTGACCCTTTTAAAAATGTAATTACTTTTGTATTCTGAGTTTATTCCAAAACGAAAATTGTAAATATGTTGTAAGAAAATCGCTAATCTGTTTTCACATGTATTTGCGAGAATTTGAATTCCTAACAAGTTTTAACGTTTATGACTATGCTTGATCAATGGCTGAATGTTGAATCTTTGGTATTCAATACTATTAAAATAGTTTTTTTTTCCTCTGAATTTTTCCTTGTGCTGAATGGCTTTGATTCAGAGTTACCGTGACAGATTTATATCTCTGTTTTTTCAAGTAAAGGTTTGCTCATTGTGTACTTACCAAGTGTAAAATGTTGTTTGTTTAATGCAGAAACAAGGGGATTTTATTTGTTGCTATCGATCATAACAGGTCCCTTTCGGATCAAGGTCCTTTTGACATTGTGCTGCATAAGGTTGGGGAATTTCCTTTTATCATTTGACACACTTAATTTTGATTTCAATCTAGATGATGAGGATTCAATAAAATTATGTTCCCTGTAGTCTCCATTCCTACATGCACACACCTACTATTGATAGTTACCTCTTGCATCTGTAAAAGGGTTGTTATGATAAATGGGGTAGAAAACCTGACACATTTTTATCCTTTCTCCGTGCAGTTGTCAGGAAAAGAGTGGCGCCAGATTCTTGAGGTTGGTTTGTGTAAATTTTTTTCTTTCTTTCTAGTATTTAGAAAATAATACTCTGGACTGATTTTTCTTGAGACCACACTTGTTGCATAAATGCATATGCTAATCATCTGTCCAATGCCATTTATACTTCACACGGGGTAAAATAATCACTGGCATTGCTGGTCGGCAACCAGAATGTTAATGCTTAGAACTTATTCCTGTCTGACTAAATGTGCAGAGTGCTTCACTTTCCTTCATCATGAATTATGACTCAATAGTTGAGGTCGAGGCCTCAAGCCAGCAAGTGACGATGTTTCTACTTCCATGGCCATCTAGCTGAGTTTTTCAGGTTTTCTAAGCATTTTCCGTAAAAGATTCTTGATTCTCTTGAACGGGTTCATATTTCCAGGGTATAAATAATTACCCGCATTGTCAGCTGAATGGGAGATAGCTAACTTGATCTGAGCGAATTTAGAGTTGATATACCTGCCTTTGAGTGTCTACGGCGCTATACTTCTAGGATAAGGTCTGCAAAACACCCTTCCTCATCCTCTTTCAGATGCTGGTTGTGATGGCTGGTTGAACATCGGGTACCTTTAGATTTCTGTCCATCCATTATACCCTGGTAGGATTATAGCTGCAAAGTTTCCTATATTGGCTGGATTAGTTTTTTTATGTTCTACATTGTCGTTGGTTGTGCTTATGGGAGAGCTTACTAGTAATTATAAACTTAGTGTGTTGGGTTATGGATTGAATTGTTAAGCATCTCAGTGTGAACCATATACAAAATATATGTTAATTTCTGTTATTTACTTTTACATCCATGAAATGTAAGCCATAAGGGCCCGTTTAGTTCGCGGATTGAACTTCTTGGGAATAAACTTCCCATGTCTAATCCCACGAGATGGGAATAGAGGATGTTCATTCCCATGTTTGGGAACGGTGGGAAATGATGACTAGGAAATGTAACCATCTCCCATTCCCATGTTTGGACCAGTCATAATTATAGTGATTTTTGTGGGTTCTGTGATATTCATTTTGATAGCGGGTGATGTGTCCAAACACATGCTGTTTTGGCTTATGATTGTTATGGAGCAGTCATTCAATAACTACATTTTATCGTTTGTAGTGGTGACTTTCCAAAAATCCAATTTCATTTCAGTATTTAGTCTCTCTTATGTACAGCGGAGATGCAACTTCATAACAAATACTTTTTGTGAAAAAAAAAAAAAAGCTTTACAGTGGCAAAGTTTTTGTTTTTGTTTGGTTTTTTTATTTGAAAGAAACAAAACTAATGTGCTCCGACTCCCATGGAGACCTCTAATTTGTTTGATTCTCAGAACTCTCCAAAAGGTATCATAAAGAGTTTGTATGTGTCCCATGAAATTAATTTCTACTGTCAATGAGCTGTTGGTCCTCTTTTTTGGGTTTCCTTTTAGGTTTGCAGGTTTATTATAAAAGATGTTTCTTTGAAATAGTTTGTCAATCCAATTTCTACAGTTAGTGTTGTTTTCGATGCTACCAATGGTACTTTGGGATGTAGGGGTTGATAATTGTTTGCTGCAAGAGCAAAGTTTAAGTTGTTAAGGACTTGATATGGTAGAAAAAGGTATGGCATACACAATAGTATCTTCCCTCACATGTGGGTCACTTAACAACCTTGAGCTAACCAATGTTTGAGGGACAACTATACTTGCATTTGGCATATTCTGATCAGTGACCATGATTTGCTAATCAGTTTTGCTCTTTCTGAATAACTTTTCTCTGCAGTATCTAGTCTTTGGTTGATCTGTTATATTGTTTTAATAACTTGTCGAAAGAATTGTACATATTTAGCTTAGGCTTTTCTGTTCTTTATTTCTTAGGAATAAGAGGAAGAAGATAACAGTTATCATAAGCTGTAATTTATGCACTTGCATTCTACAATTTGTTAAGTTTTATTTTCTATTCATTTTTCATCAGTTCAAAAGTTTTACTAAGTGTTTGTGAGATTGTACATGGATATCCACCTTCACATGGTTCTCTGAGTAATTAGATCCTTATCTGGAAAAAAAATGGTACATTGTTTAGTACAGGACTTTTCATTGGAAAAAAAAAAGAGAGAAGAAATTAAACTAGTCTTCTTTAAGTTGTAATTTATGCACTTGCTTTCTACATTTTGTTAAGTTTCATTTTGTTTTCATTTCTTTTCTTAGGATTGTTAGATTGTACATACACCATATCTACATTCATGTGGTTTTTCAGAGACATGGTATATTGCAAAACTTTCTCAATCTATAATGCTCTTTGATCATAACTGTGGATATTGAATGGCTTCTGACAATTATGGACAGATGATCAAAGTTATCATGACTTTGAGACTTCAAACCTAAAGGAAAATGCTCATGACTGTAATCAAGAGTTTTCACTCTGTGTTGTTAGGCCATTTAGGTGTTTCACTCTTTCTAATTTGAGCATGTGTAAGCTTCATAGTATATCATAAATGTATATTATCTTTTGTTTTAGTTTTGAAAGGCCAATTGGGTTCTTCACATGTTCGACAAATTTGTCCACTTTTGAGAGTAGAAGTATTTATACAAAAACACTGGAAACTCCTGACGGTGTTCTCTTGATGAAAAAATTCAGGCTTTTGAATATTTTTTTTGGTCCACATGAAACAAGATTGGTAATCAGGTCCTGTTTTAAGTGGGTTGCTCACATCCTTTTTTCTTTTCGATTCTTACGTGTAAGTGTAGTTTAGTAACAGAAACAACTAAAAGTTGGTTAAAAAAAAGAGATACAATGATTTTAAGCGATCTTCAAATGTAACATGATTTTGATTGTAACTGATTGACAGTAACGATCGGACAGTTTTCTAAATCGGGACAAGAATGACTCTGTTGCTCCATGTCGTCCTTTTTTTGTCCATTGGTGCTCCGCTTTGTCCTTGTATGTTCTGTAAAAGACCCGACTATTAAAACCTAGCAGTGGTTTTCTTTGGGTTCCTCTCAATAGATGTGTTTTTGGAATTAAAGATGCAATTGCCATGCTTGCATTTTGAAATTTGACAATTTTGTAGTCATGCAATTTGTAGAGAAATTAGATGGACTGGAATTACATGTTTGCTTCAAATAAGAAAAAGTGATAGACATCACCTTGTACACTTTTCTTCGAAAAAAAAAACGAAAAAGGAAAAGAAAAGAGTTGTGATATATTTTGGTGGGGATCATCAGAAATGTCTCCTTTTTTCGCTGTTTTTGTTTTATGTCTTGCTAATTGCCAGCTTCCTTTCTTTTTTCTTTGAGGGGTACTCTTACTGAAATTTGGTTTAGCGATTGCATATTGTTTAGTAAATTATTTGTTCAGTAGATATACAATTTTGGTTATACTCACATCACACTCCTTTTCTCCTAATTGTAGGACTATAGGCAAACACATCCTGAAGTCACTGTTCTTGATCCACCTGATGCCATACAACATTTACACAATCGTCAATCCATGCTCCAGGCTGTTGCTGATATGAACTTGTCTGATTCCTATGGTATGCTCTGTGCTTTATGTCCTAAATGTTGGATTACCTGTGAATAGTATCTTGTTTGAAGTTTGGCTCACTTGGTTTACGCTGAGTGTCAGGTTAAACTATAAGTGTGGTGACTGAATTTTTGTCCTCAGTGATGCTGATTAACGTATTCATGCAGGCAAAGTTGGTGTTCCCAGACAGTTGGTTGTCAAAAGAGATGCATCGTCCATACCTGATGCTGTTGCAAATAGTGGGCTGACACTACCCATTGGTATGCGTATGTTGTTTTAGTAATTAGTATCATGAAACTATCAGGACCATATGCTTTAACTGTATACGTTGGTATTATGTAATATCAGTAGTTGGTATCATGTAATATCAGTAGTTGGTTTTATGAAAATATCGGGACCATAGGTGTACTTTTTTGGCTATTCATCTTTGGGAGATGTATTGACATTTTATGTTTCAGTTGCAAAGCCACTGGTCAATGATGGAAGTGCAAAGTCACATGAATTATCACTTGCTTTTGATCGATACTCTCTTCAAAAGCTTGAACCTCCGCTTGTTCTTCAGGAGTTCGTAAACCATGGTATGAAACTAAGATCCATGTAGTTTCTTATCATTGATTTCCTTAATATAACTGCAAGCATATCATAATTCTTGATTTCACTTCTCTTCTGATTATAGGAGGTGTTCTTTTTAAAGTCTATATTGTGGGTGAAGCTATAAAAGTGGTCAGGCGTTTCTCTTTACCTGATGTCAGTAAACGTGAGCTCTCCAAAACGGCTGGTGTATATCGTTTCCCCAGGGTTTCTTGTGCTGCAGCTTCTGCAGATGATGCAGATCTGGACCCAGGCATTGCTGGTGAGTTTTCCTGTCTAGGAATTGGGTTTCTTCTGTTGCATCTTGATAAACTTTGCATTGTAACTGTCTTTTCAAACATAAAGCTTGTGTTTCATTGCTGGACTTGGTTTTCATTTGTGAGCTTAAAATGTAAGTTGCCATTTGTAATATAAAAATAAAATCATGTTGGCTGGTTGTTGGTATTTTGAAGGGTTGAACCATCAACTGAGGTGTCAAATGCATGGAAGTAACAGTGAAATTTAACTAGTTATTTTTTTTTTGTTATGCATCATAACTGTAATATGGGTCTTGAAAAATTTGCTAAGCAATTACTGTTTTGCATGCAGAACTTCCTCCACGACCGTTACTTGAGAGACTTGCCAAGGAACTTCGCCGTAGACTGGTAGCTCATGCTTTTCACTATGTGGTTTGTGCCATGCCCGTGTTGATGCATGGAATTCATATAAACTTGTCCTATCTTTGTAGGGTCTGCGGCTGTTCAACTTGGATATGATCAGAGAGCATGGGACCAGAGATCGGTTTTATGTCATTGACATTAACTATTTCCCTGGCAAGTGATCTCTCTCTCTCTCTCTCTCTCTCTGTTTTGAGTTAATTCTTGTCCATTAACAATTAACTGAGTTCAGCATCTTTTTTAGATACTATGTTGATTCTATCTATTGCACTATCAGAAGTCATTTTGTATGGCTGTTAAACTGCCCTTGAATCTTGTTGCAGGGTATGGGAAAATGCCGGAGTATGAGCACATATTTACGGACTTCCTCTTGAGCCTGGTGCAGGCCAAGTACAAAAAAAGATCTGGCTGAAAAACTTTTAATTGACTCTCCTTGAGAACAAAGTGGGAGTCTGATCACAGATATAGCAGAGCACCTCAATAAGATTCTGCAGGGTAAGGTTCCTTGCTTCGGTCCCACGTACAGTGACATGTGTGGATCCCTGCTGATGGCCGAAGGAAGATGTTCGGCCGTACAGTCAATTGCTAATAGGAGATGTTCCCCCGAGAAGAATGCATCATGTACAGAGTTCTCAGAAGTCTAACTTGGCTCTGTTGATTCTTTTTCTTTCTACCTGTTTCTGTCGTTGGTAGATCATGTAAGCAGCTGCTAATTACAGAATCTAAAAAATTTATTGGGTTAATTTTTGATTTTATAATATTTATGTTTCTTTTAACATTTAGGTTGGAAAGATGCAAAATCTGATGTCATTTTCAATTTTATAATTGATGCCTCTTACATTTTTTTTTTGGGTTACAATTGAACCCTACTTTTTCGTAGGTATGAACCACTGGAATTTTTATCCATGGTTCCATCTTCTCCATTGAAATGAAGTAACTTTTTGGAAAATGAGAAATTTGCCCTTGGTAATTCATGGGCTCCTCTGGTTCTCTGTGTCCCTTTGATGTGTTTGGATTGTAATGTTCTGGTTGTGTGCTGAGGCCAGCTTTAAACTCAATGCACCCCATACCATAAAAATCTACTGGTACTTCACGAACCAAAAATTGTATCATTTTGGTAGATGGTAGAGCAAATCGTAATAAGTTAATGAAAAGGGTAAAGGACATCCTTCATTCCAGGGAATTTGTTTCTCTATCAACATGAAGCCATTAAATAGAATTCCCGAAGGAAGCAAATGGCATGACTGAACTTCAATATTGCTCTGTGATGGATTAGGTTGAGAGGTAGCCAATGGGATTGAAACATTGACCAAATGACTACAAATCCAGTACCAAGATTTGAGGCGAGGGAGAGGTGGTGAGGCAAACCCCATTACACTCTGATACTGGTTTAATTCAAGACAAAGAAAAGGTCTAAATTACTTTATATTAATTTAATCTAAACAACCCCAGACCAACTTGCCTAACCCACATAAGTTATTTCCTCATTTTTATACTAGCATGAGTTGAAAATTGAGAATAGTACATAAACAATTAATTTTAAAATCTGATAGTTCATTTTAAACCAAATCAAAATGGGGCAAGCAATGCCACCCAAACCCAACCCAAATTACATAGGCAGATAGATAAAGAAGCAGGATGAAGCAAAATGATAATAATTGGTCAAACAGAACCCAACATGCACAGAAGCTTCAAATGTCCAAAGCTCCAAAAACAAAACCAAAACAAAACATAATAATAACAACCGAAATTGGGTAAACCAAGTTCTATTCAGTGGTGGGTGGCTCTTGTGGGGAAGAAGATGAAGCTTCATCTGCAGAAGAGACCAATGTCCAGTCGGCAGGGAGAGGAGGCAGAGGAGTGTACACAGTGGGCTTGCGTTTCACGTCCCATGGCTGCGTTTTACGAGGCCGAGTCTTCCTGTGATGCGCAGTGGCCTTCTTCTGTGGCCTCGACGAACACTCAATCATCAACCCAGTACCTCCACCAACTGAGCCACGCCATGGGGATGTCTTTGGGACCCCAAACGACGCCGTCGCAGATGGGTTCTTCACAGCCACACCCACAGCCACCAATTGAGGCCCCAACACAGCTGAAACTGACATCTTCGGTTTTCACAGTGAGAAAAAGACGATGGAGTTGGGTTTTCTAGTTTCTGTACCTCTTTTGGGGATAATGTTTTGCACACATTATCTTTTAGTTTTGATTTGTCCTGGTGGGTGTGACCTTTGGTGTTTTATTTTTTGGGCCTTTTGCTTGGTTATTGGATTTGGGTCCAATTGTCTCCTTTAGGCCTTATGACAAATATTATTTATTTTTTTTTATAGAGAAAAACAATAATTGTATTAATAAATCAAGCACAAAAATCATCAGCCATTATGGTAATACAAATACATACGAAGGGGTAATACAAATATGTGAGCAAGCAAGCCCAATTGAAGTTGATTGCAAGCATTTGTTGTTAATGATGAGGAGCCCAGTGTAAGACCCTTAACAACTGAGATATGCCAAGGCATGGTGAGTGTCTTGCACCATGCTAAGGCAAGGAAGTTGTGCAACGAGTTGTGCACATGAAGGCAAGACAAAGTGGGATGAGGAGTGTCCTGAGATGAGAAAAGGCAGCAAAGGTTTTGGCATGACATAGGTAGCTAGGGCTCATCATGCGCAGTAAGTGTCAACATATGTTGACAATTGCCTTCGGAACATGTTGATAGAATTGAGAAGAAATTGTAGACAAATTGTGGAAACTCTCATCAGGTTGGCTTGGAAGCTCTCGGCTGGTGCTGTCGACAAATGTTGAAGGTTGTTGACAGATGTCGAAGGCTGTCGACATGCGATAGCAGATTATGGCACGTGCTGGGCAGCTTCTGGAAAACTCACCAAAGGACTCCTCCCACTATATTATGATTGAATTTCAATAAAAACTCACCAAAAGCCTTATCCGACTATATTATGATGTTTTCCAAGTTTTGAGCTCGATCCTAAATTAATTGGTCAAAGAAGTGGGTCACATGAAATCTCTACACTAAATGGGAGTGGTAGGAACATTGCATTGTTTTATTTATTAGATTTCAGTAAAAACTCACCAAATGATTCCTCCCACTATATTATGATGTTTCTCAGGTTTTGGACTCGATCCGAAATTAATTGGTCAAAGAAGTGAGACACATTAAGTTTCTAGACTAAATGGGAGTGGTAGGAACATTGGATAGTTCATTTGCTTAGATTTCTGTAAAAATTGAACAAATGAATCCTCGCACTATATTATGATGTTTCCCAAGTTTTGGGTCCTATCCGAAATCAATTGGTCAAAGAAGTGAGTCACATTAAGTATATACACTAAACGGGAGTCGTAGGAACATTGCATAGTTCCTTTGATTGGATTTCAGTAAAAACTCACTAACTTAATTTTTTTTCGTTACCAATATATGAGTAACATAAAAAATACACAATACATTGCGGTTTCTATTTTATAAGCCTAAAAAATACCAATACAAGAGTTACATAAAAATACAAAATGTTGGCAAAGGACCCATTAGTGTAGTGGTTTGGAGTATTTACTCCCTTAGGCAAGGACCTGGGTTCGAGTCCTAGCATCTGTGTAGTGTGTGTGAGTTTAGTATGCTATCGCCCCTCTCAATAGGAAAGGTCTTCAAAACAAACAAAAAAAAAAAAAATGTTGCATTTTCTAATCTATAAGTCTAAAAAAAACTAATATAAGAGTAACATAAAAATACGCATCACAAATGAAATATTGAAATTATGAAAATTAATTTGAGTGGCAATTCTTGTAATTTACGGGATTTATTAGCTGTAATTTGAGGTTCATTTATTGGTCATTGATCTGATCCAGATCAGGTGAAATTAGATTACCATCTATCACAACAGTAAACTAACCAAATCTCCCAAAAAAAAAAAAAAAAAAAAAA